ATACCAAATTTTGTACTTATCGTACGAAAAAAATATGATCGTGATGATCTTGATGATTTATCACGTTCATCACAACAACAACTTGATCGTTATGAAAGTATGGGAAAAAAATTTGAACGTACAGCTGAATATTGTTGTGATGTTATATTACAAGAAATTGAAATGGATACATTGAAATTTCTTAAAATACTTTTTACACGTGATTGGTTTGGTCCAACAGCTAAACAATGTTGTGGTACAATTATTGAAACAACACGTGATTATTGGAGTTCAGAATTAACACATTTAAAAAAACCCTTATTAGCTTATATTTTTTATACATGGCATAAACGTATATTAGCTCATTATTTACGAAATTTATTTTCACGTAATGCACCTATTAAATTTTCTACACCAGCTGAACGACGTACAGGTGCAGAACAATTACGTAGAGAATCAGCTCACCTTGATAAAGAATTTAAATCATGGGATGGTACATCAGCTGATAATGCAACTGAATATCATTTTAATATATTAAGTAATATAGCTGATGTACTTGAACAAACAGATTTAGATTCAATTGTACTTGAAATAGCAACATTAGCAAAAAAATATCCTAGTTTAAATATGGATCAAGTTACACAAGTTTTATTATTACGTGGAGATTTAACAAAACAAGAAGCAAAAGATAAAGCTGATGCTGCACTAGCAAATATGCCACGTGTGAATCAAGGTATTCTATTTGAAATTATGGAAATTGTTAATCAAATAAATTGATATTCGATATGGAATATTAAGAAAAGAAAAAAATCCTTAATTTCTATTCTATTTATTCATTTATCTTATTTATGTATATTTATCTGCTTTTCTTTTTTCTTTGTGTTATCAACGATGATTATTCCTATTGATTTCCAACAAATAAATAAATATATACATGCAAAAATTTTAGAATTAAATCAATATAAATAAATTTTTGTTCTAAAAACATCTGAGCTTGTATTCATTCTCAAAAACATATTATCATTTTTATACCATGTCTCGAGAATTTGTCTGGAAAGTTTACAAGAATAATTCTGAAATAGTTTCTTTTTTAATTAACGTTATAATATATACTTTGAAGTTTTGTTCTAATATATTTTCAGACAAATACTTATGTTTGTAAATATACGAATAGCAACAATTTTGATAATGATCAAATTTGAGTCACGTGTCGTTATGTAAGAAAAAATTCGATTAAAATTTGGCATACCAACATCAGATATAGACTGTATAAGAATTACTATTATGGATTAGTATAGTGCTAAATGGACGACAATATGAAAGGTCTTCAAAAATTAGAAAAGAGAAAATCGATGATGTTCATGACTGAATATTCTTCAATGAAGCGCTATATAAGATACACTGTATCCAACAAGATCAAGTTGAAATGACATGATGAGCTATAAATAAAACTACAACAAAAAGAAATAAAATATCTCCGAGTCGGTTGAAATCAAATAGGCTGATTTTTTCATTGATGGTAGACATTTATTCAAAGTTTTTTTTTCATACGGATAAGGTAAAAACATACTACCATTAAATATTATTGTTAGTATAATGTAACATTAATGTCATCTGAGAGAATAATCAGAGCAAAGCAAAGTAAAGCAAAGCAAATTTTATGAATGATATTAATTATATGGATATGCATAGAACAAATTTTGAAAACTAGTTAGTTTAAAAGTCAACGATTACAATATTTCAAATTTTATCTCTTTTCATTTAACTTTTTTTATTGATAAATATCATGTGAAAACTTATGTCTGTAATACATACATAAAGATTTGATTGAGTTCAAAATAAGAATCAATATTGAAAATGAATTACTTCAAACCAGAAAGGTTTCTGTAGTTTTTTTAAAGATTTGGAAAACGATGGTGTGAGATATTTCAGTTCACGGTAATTATTTTGAAGATTTATTATCAACGAAATCGTATGCACTAAAATTTGAAAGAATTCACTATTAGATTATTAAGCAAAGGCAGCTGAATTTGCCTGAATTGTATAAAAGATATTCATGAAAGAATAACTAGAGGGCATTTTGAAAACTTTGTATTTATTAACAAGTATCTTTACGAATTATTCAATTCGAATAGATTTTCATTATTAAACAAGAAAATATAAATTACGTTTCATAGAAGAATGTTAAACAGCATACAAATATTTATTTCGCAGATTAATTTGGTCATAGACGGTACATGAGCGAGCCAATGTCAAATCACTACAAATACTTTTTATAACTTTAATAAGAACCAAAGTGACTGAAACTTACGAAAATGATTATTATTGATAGTCTGTTATTGTTTTATTATTATTGTATGTTTATTCTCTTGAATGTTCAAATTCTATTTGCATAAAAAAGAGACAAATCGATTACTGTATAATTCTTCAATGACTTAACAAATCTTATAGCATAATATTTAAATTTTTACTTTTCAGTTATTCATTAATTAATAAAAAAAGATTTTGTTTATATAATTACTTTCGATAAATGAAGATCAAATAACCGTTTAAAAAAACGAAGCATTACTATCTCAGTAGAATCATGTTTTTGAAATCACATACCCATATTTGATAAACCACGAAATCGATTCCCTTCTTTACTCTTTCACATTGTTTCTTTATCTGCCCTTTAAAATCCTTTTGTCCTTGTTTATCTAATCATTTTTCACACAATATCTTAGTCGAAAAATGATGGTGCTATTTCTATCAAGTATTAAATTACATTGTACATAGTACTATCCGTTTTATACTCAATTACTGTGATGATCTTGAGAGTAATTCAACTCATTAAAGATAAACATCACAAAAAGGAAAAACAAAATCAATCAATCTTCTCGATCGATAAAAAAAAATAAGCAAGAGAACAAAAATAAAAAATATAAAAAAAAAAAGTTTGATCATTATCTTTTGAACATATGTAACTGAATCATGTAAATGAACTTTAAAAGTCTCATGCGATACGTAAATTTTTAATTGTCATCATATTTTACCATAATCAATGACCTCATCCTAAAACATTTTCATCATCTCTTATCAGACATCAATAAAAATAAAACAAGAAAAAAAAAAGAGTTGCAGTGCATCACATATTCACAATATTTTCAAATGTTCTTTCAGTGGATTATTTTTATTCTTTGTCTATTCATTACATGTATTATTCCAATAAAATCAACTGAAAATTGTAATATCGATTATGATCGTTATAAAAGAAGCTATGGTTATTCATTAACCTATCATTGTTCAAATCTTCATTCACTTTCAAATGATCTTTTACAAACGAAAGATATTTTAGAAAAAAAATTACCATTAAAAATTACTAAAAGTCCAAATCTTCATATTCATAGAGAAATATGTGGTCAACATCAACAACAATATTTATTAGGTTTATTAATCGAATCATCATATATTCATTCAATAGGTTCACGAGCATTTTCTTGCCGTACATTGCGTGCTATTTCAATAAGTCATACACAATTTTCATTAACAATTTTACCTGATGATATATTTCTTAATGCCTATCAATTACAAACTATTCGTTTTGTACATACTAATATAAAACGTTTACCATCATCATTAGAAAATTTATCTAATTTAACTGAATTAATACTTGATGATATGCATTCACTTATTGATTATCCATCAATAGAATATTTAAGTAATTTACGTTATTTACATATATTTACGAGTTTAAATTATTTTCCACTTAGCTATGTGGATAATTTAAATCGTTTATCACATATACAAATTGTTCATTTCGGTAGTCGAACAATAAACATATTTCCAAAAGAATTATTTCATTTAAATGGTTATCAATTAACTGATGTAAGTCTCTATTCAGAAAATATAACATGTCGAACATGTAAAAGTGATTGGTTTAAAACAATTGCTAAAACTTTAATGATATATGGTTGGGCTAATCGTACAAATGAACAATTTCGAAATAAAAATTTTCATTTAATTACCAAAACAACGTAAGTTTTAATTTCAATTCAATTATATTTTTTTTAAAGATCAAATTATTTTAGACAATTTTATAAATTAGATATAATTGCATATTGTGGTGATATGCGATTAGGTGAAGAACCATTAATGGTACATAACGCACCATTATGTTGCAACAAAGGCTATTTTCAATGTCCAACTAAACGTTCTACATGTCAAAAATTGAGTAATACATTTTCACGTTGTAAATGTTTAAATGGTTACTATGAAGATAGTTATGGTGACTGTATTTCAATTTAAAGATTAAAAAAAAGCTTTCTTTTTAATACTACAAAATAATAAAAAGAATAAATCAAGTTAATGATGATGAATTTAGCTTCTGCTTTGATGTCTCTAGCCACTAGAATGTTTCTTATGTTTACCGTCGCCGTGTTTTTGTTTATGTTGTTTGCCACCTTTTCCGTGATGTTTGCCACCTTTTCCTTGATGTTTTTTTTTCTTGTGACCTGATTTATCGCTATGGTGGCCTGATGAAGAACTGCTACCCCTTGAACTACCACGATTAGGTGATAGTGATTGATCTTTACCATGAGATCCGCTAGCATGACCACCACCTGGAGGATTTTGTGGTAAACGGTTAGCTTGATTACCACTTTGAGGACTTATGCCTTTTGCTCCAGCACCATGTTTTTTATGTTCATTACCATGTACATGCTCTATATAATAGATACAAAAGTAATGTATAAAATTTATGAAGAAAAATCTTACGAAAAGCAAATGCAAAGATCAATACTAAAGCAAATGTATAAAACCAAAGTAATCGCATTGTTGCGTTTGATACTGTATGAATGTCAGTTAAAATACAATGATGAAACAAAATGATTCGAGTAAGAGATTAAATATCTTCAGTTTATTTAGAAAAGGGTGAGACAGAGAGAGAAATGGGTAATAGAAAAGATAAAGACACACATACTACGTACACACAAAGGAAAGTTATTTTATCAGTAGTCAATTGGCAAGGTCAAAATGGTTGGCTTTTACGTGACTATGACACTGCGATAAATTTTTCGATTATTTTGAATTTTTTCTTCATTTTGCCGTATAGGTGGAAATAAACTTTGTTTAATTGGTTGTTTTGTACGTTTTTGTTGTTCAAGATTAATTAAAGTTGTTTCTTGAGAAGTTCGCATTTGTTCTTGACTTTTAATATATTGTTGGGCTTCATTTTGGATATTTTTTAATAAACGTCTGTAAAAATAAAAACGAATATGATTGAGCAAAAAAACACACTATGAAATACAATAAATCGAATAAACTTACGTTATAATAATATTTTTCTTTTTTAATAGATTTTCATATGGATCATTTTTTTGTGTTGATGGTAAATTATTCACATTATTTACCTACAGATAAGAATATAAAAGAAGAAAAAGAAAACAATGAAACATATTCTTTTTTTATTTTTACTTTTAATCTAGCACCAACTTTAAATTTAAGTTCAACAAGTTCAGTAGAAAATTTCATATAAATTTTTTCTTGTGAACAAATTTTTATAACAATTTCATTATTTAAATGAAATAATATTGGTTGAAATGGTGGTGCATGTACGTGTGGTTCAAAAGACGTATTCACTTTTGTCCACCAATTCCAACGACGGCGTCGACCACCATCAAAATTTAATTCTACGCCTTCAAGTGCTGTCAATTGTAATCTATAAATAAAAAAAAAAGCATGAACAAGTTTTTTATGAAAGATTATTTTTTTGTGAAATTCATATGTTAAATGCCTTACTATTCGAACACAATGTATGATGCAAAAGTTCTATATTATTTTTGTTGTCTGTATGACTTGATAACAAACCATGATGGAGACTTGATTGTTATATTATCAGAAAGAGCAAAGTCTCAACTACAAAGGTGTATAAAAATATTTTATTTAATCTACTAAAACTACGACAGTTTTGTATTAGTTTCGATCTTGGGAACTATTCCAACAGTTCTTTAAAAGAAACTGATCTATGTCAAGAGTTCATTCTAAAACAACTGATGCCACTAGACAATTTATTATAACCTATCAATTATATCTATAATTACTCTATTCTGGGTCATGTTTCACAACTGCACAAATATGCTGGAATGAATCTAACCAAAACTTAATGCGTAGATAGAAGGACACGATTCTCAAAAATACCAACTACTAACTAGACTTAGTTCTCAAAAAAAAATCAGTTCATGGAACTAAGAACAGTTGCAGATCTATTAAATACTTATAGAAGGCTGAAAAGTTTTCAGAACATGTTTGACAAGAAAAGTTCTTTCTACACTCTTGATATTCAAAATGAAATCTCCATTGATTAAGAAAGTTAAGCTTATTTTCTGTCTTTTATCGGATTTTCTAGCATAAAGATAGGACATTGTAAACAGACAAAAAATAAAATTTTCAAGTTATCTGTTGAGTGCAAAATCAATATTTTTCCATCGACTTCAGATAGCCTAATAAGTAATTGGAAAAAATATTATTTTTTTCCAAAAACCGAAGTGAATGAAATTGCATTTTTTATGTCTCATTAAAATTTAATGAGCCCTCTTTAACAGCACATTGAATAAAACAGAATATTAAATGTTACCAAAAAAAAACTTCGATGAACTTTGTAGATGAAGAAATCAAGCTTTTAATAAAGCAATTTCCTATGGAATATATGGTTTATTAATTTCAATACTTTGATATCACTAGAAAGCTAATGTCGTGTTGGTTACATTCATACGTAATCTGCCTAAAGATTACAAAAGTTGAGTGCAAGACAAATCAATCAAATGCATTTCTTTCATCACTGTTTTTGTATGAAATTGTAAGGTATTTTTCTGATCAATTATGTCCTTAAAAATTTTCAACCTTCGGTAAATATTTTGAACGAAACTTTGTAGTCGAGACTGTGCTTTTCCTAATAAGAAAAATATCAAATCTTTACGACGAATTTTTTGTCACACTATACTACAAAACAAAATTAATTTAGAACTTTTGCATTATCCGTTATGTTGAATAGAAGAAAGATTCAATTTTTTTTTGTTAGTTATTTCAATATTTATTAATTAATAATAAAATTTCATACCTTAAATCTCCATTGGTAAAATTACAATAACCATTTCCAAATGGATCAAATTGTGCTAATTGTTTTGCTGAAAGTGTTGGTTCATCAGTAAATGCAGTATATAAAAGCATAGCACGAGCAACTTCTGAGATACTGATAGCCAAATTACCCGATGGATAACTTAAGACACGAAAGAAAAGTTTTTGAAAAAAGCTTCTCAAACATTATAACTTACTAAACACAGCCTGTTCCATTTGGAAAAAGAATAGCTGCTTTTGATCCGTCTTTATAAAATCTTTGAATTAATGGTCTTTCATATCTCTATCGATAAATAGAAAAGAAATATATATATATATATTTATATTATATCAATAATGATTTTATAGTATATTACTTTAAGTATCGAAGACGAAAGATCTCTTGGTACAAGTATATGTTCTCCATCTTCAGAATCATCATCTGAACTTATTTCAAAATCAGGTGGCCTTTGTAATGTCCAACCTTCTTCAACAAATTTTAAATTTGATAATTGATATGTCAGAGTTCTCATTTTTGCTGCCACTACATTTAGAACAAAGAGAAGTTTCTTTTTACTTTGTTTACTATCATTTAAAATAATATTATTAGTATTAATTAGAAATATATAAAGCTACAAACACACACAGAATAATGATTAGTAAATGAATATTAGTAAAGCAAGTACACTTACTTGCCGAGCCTGGCTCAGCAGTGCTCGGCGATGGTGAACTACTAGTCACTGATGAAACACCACGATATGAATTTGATTGTTGTGCCCTTCCTGTATGTATATATATAATACACAATCCTATCTTTTTCCGACTATGTCTAGTTAAACATATATCTCGGAAAAATGGATCCACTATATGGACAGGGAAAAATAGGGATCAAGCAAAAGTTGCACACACACAATAGAAAGCTTTAATGTAATTATTATTATTATTATTATTATTATTATACTTTCAGCTGCATCAATCGATGTTCCTCCGTCATTCTGTCTGTTTGTTGCTGTGATTGTATTATGTTTTCGTGTTGTATTGTTATGTGCTTGACGTCCTGCACAAGTGTATGTATACATCAACTACACACAATAGTGAATGTGTATATAGGAATAAAAGCTATTGTGGAGATAATGTGATAATTATCAAGAAAACAAATATTCAAACAATATTTAGATATATACAGTCATCCTGAATCATTTTTGCTGCTGCACGTCTGTCCATTAATTTATGTGGTGCTTGACTGAAATCAGTACTTCCACCTGATTCTGATAGGATTCAATTGATAAAAAAAAGACCACAAAAAAAAACCAAAACTGAAATATTTACATACGTAAATCACTAGATTTTGATTGTGTAGCATGTGCTAATTTTTGTGCTTGTTCTTCAAGACGTTTTTGTTCAGCCATATGACGTTCCCAAACTCTGATATATATACATATATATATACAAATACATAAAATGATTGTATGAGAATATTTTGTATTGACAAACCTTGTTTTAGCTCGTTCTTCAGCTAATTGTCGAGCACGTCGACTACGAACTTTAGCATGTGGTTGTATATCAATTTGTTTTGAATCAAGTTTTTGATTCTCTTCTCTTTGCATTTCAAGTACAGCTTCAACAAATTCACGATACTCACTACAACAAAATAACTAAATCAAAAAAAACAAGAAATACTCAGATATATTTATTTAATAAAATCATACTTGACTTGGTGCAAATTTTTCTTGTTCAATAATTGTTGGCCATTTAAGTATTGGTTCACCACAAAATTCACATGGAACATGTCCATGAATATGTACACCCAATTCACGTAATTCAGTTTCAATGGCTTGTTCATGTGTTCGAGGTATATCAAATGATTTTTGTTTAGATTCAGGATTATACTGTAATAAAAATGATTCATTCTCATCTTTCAAAAAGAACGAAAACAAAAACAATATAAAAAAGGTTAATTGAACCTGTAAAATAGGTGGTGGTCCAACAGATGTTAAAATTGGCAATTCTGGTAATGAACTAATAGTCGATTCAGCTTGTTCAGGTGTCTTTAGAAAAAAGAAATATTGTTTTGTTAATTTCTTATTGGTGTTAATTACTTCTGAAACTTTTGGAATTGGTACTTCTGGTTCAGCAATAACTTCTCGTTCTAATTCTTCACGCTCTTCTTCGACAGGTACCGGTTCAGGTTTTTCTTCTCGAACTAATTTTTATAGAATACAAACATTTACTTTGTTTTTCTTTTTCTTTTTTGTTAATACAAACACATACTTCGATATTGTTCGAGCATTTCCATATCTTTCCATGTCCATTCTGTTTGAACACTTATTCTTAAAAATTAAAAATATTATTACATTTTTATTTCTTTGATTTATTCTCATACGTAGTCGATTTTTTAGGCGTCTTTTTTTGACTTGATGGAGTAGTACTTTGAATTTTTCGTCTTTTAGATAGCATTGGTGATTTTCCTGTTGTTGATGTGAGATTAAAAACTTCTTTTTGTTCATCACTTGATGTACCTAATGCTGAACCTTTTATGAAGAACAAAACAAACAATATTTCTTTTATATGGTTTTTGTTTTTCTTTTTATTTCAAGCAAACCAGGTTGTTGCTGTTGTTTGGATGGAGGTGTAGATGATGTTTCATCATCCGTATCATTCAATGGCTGGGCTATATATAAACAGAAATAGAGTAAAAAGACATGTTATTATTTTCTTTCTCTATTTAAAATTCAAATTGTTTCCTAAGGGAAAAAGAAAACGAAAGTCAATAGTCGATAGTCGATCTCTCGTTCTTTTAACAGTATTTTTAGTCATGCTTTTTAAGTCATTGAAAGAGTATGAGAGAAAGAGAGAAAGATAGAGAAAGAGAAACAGAAAGACGGAATAATGCAAAGTGCATAGAAGCCATCGAGCAAAAATATAGAAAAAAAATGACGAGCGATAGCTTTCATGCTGCTTCTAAGTCGTTGCAATCGAACAAGTGAATAAATTGTTGAATTTTGCAAACAGTTGTTGGCACAACAACAAAAAAAAAATATAGACAAAAGTAGAAATACGATAAATGAAACGATGACTATTTATATAGTGAATTATTGAAAGAAGAAAAAAAAAGCAACAAAGATTATTTGTACACCAATATTGCGAATAAGAATCATTAACAATGGGTCATTACGGTAAACATATAATCGATCCTGAAACTGGTTTATGTGAAATATGTGATAAAGATGCTATTCGTGAGATTCGTGAAGGTAAACAACCAGGAAAACAAGTTTATTATTCAAACCATGATGATGGTTTTAGTTATCGTTCAAATAATAATGAAACTCCTTATATTCAAGTAAATTTATCTATTTCTAATATCTTTTAATCTCTCTCTCCCTCTCTCTCTTTAATATTATCATAGGATCGATATGAAGATGAAATAGATGACGAGCGAACACCACGTGTTATCCGTCAATCTGTTCTTCCTGCACCAACAGTTCGGTCACGTCGAGTTATTCGTGAAGAACCAATTGACAATCCAATTGTTATTCGAAGAAGAATTGTTCGACGTAATCCTCCACCATCGGAAGAAGTTATTATTCATCGATCATCACCGCGTAACAAAGCATATTACTATGTTGATAAAGAAGGTCAAATGTTGCCTCAAAACTATACTCCACCAGCAGAACCTCCTCGACGTTATGTTGTTCAGAGTATGGGTCCACCACCACCACCAGCACGTACAATTCGTATTGCACGTCGACATGCTCAAACACCTCCACCACCAGTAACTGAAATAAGACATTCAGGACCAAGACGTCTAATCAATTCTGATACAGAAATTATTGAACGACAACAGAGAGTAAGACATGATAATGCGCATTATTCTCAAACACCACCAAGAAATATTGAAATGTATCATATTGAAGCACAACCTATTTATAATCATCGTTCATCATTAGATTCTCCTATTCCAACATCACGCAATATGACTACTCCACCACCTAACGTGATTTATCAAGATGATGGACGTAGAAAACAACGTAAAATTGAACCTATGGAACGAAGGAATCATGTTGAACCTGAACCAACCGTTGTAAGAAGAGTTTATAAAAAACTACCACCAGGCAAATCAGTACCATCGAATGACAAATACAATTCTAATGAAAACGTTCCCCGATCTGTACGAAATAATAAAAATCATCCTCCACCAAGACAATATGCATCATCTCCACAATTAGCAAATGGAAATCATAGAAGTCTAGAATCAACTAAAAATCCATCTATCTATTATATTCGACCAGTTGATGAATATTGATAGAAAATTTTTGACTTCTTTCCCTTTTCTTCTATTTTGTAATTTTATATGACATTCAGAAATTCCAATAAGTTTCATTATTTTATTATTATTATTATTCTTTTTTTTTCAATGAAAAGTTATTCCGTTTTAACAAGGGTTGATTTTATAAAAGAAAATAAATGTGCATCATAGCAATATAAATAAAAATGTTTTTCTTTTAATGTATTTCTTTAAATACTCAACTCTTAAGTGATTAAAAAAAGGAAAATGACTATTACTTTTTCCTTTTTTGTTTTTATAAGAGAAGTCACAATGATTGTGAATATTCAAAGGTTTCTTCGAATATCAAATGCAATATTTATATTTCGTCATGACGAAAAGTAACTTATTGACAGCAAAAAAAAAATATTTGGTTGCTGACTTGGTCAAAATATATTCAATGAGAAAACTTCTATAGATGAACGACGATCAAACTTGAGTAACGTATGCAAGTTTCTTTTCCTTTTTCGAACTACAATTAAATAGTTTACTAAAAATGTTCAATATAGGTATCGGATGTATTTTCTTTTTGTTCAAGAATAAAGAAAAAATCACATATTCTCTTTCGTAGTTACATACGCTCGCTCGTGAGTACAAATGTCTTTCAAATAAAACTGCAATTGCCTGGATGCGTATGAATGTCAATAAAAAAAATTATGTTTGATAGAACCACATGATTCATACAATTCTAATGGTTAATATTAAAATATGAATCATGTTTTATACTTATTTAAAACTTAGTTTCATAACAATGTAAGGTAAAATCTATATAAGAAGTAATAGATAATAATAACAGACCTTTTTCATAATCTGTTGTGGGTATTTGATAATCACCATTGGAATCGACGGAGCCATCTACATGTTGATCGAGATCCTTGTTAGTCGCAGCCACATCGGTACCTGACGCCGACTGAGACATCGATCTAAGAATAAAATAAGTTTCTGAGAAAAGTACCGATTCTTCCGTTATCAAATAATTGACAGCAGAGTTCTTTCTTTTTTTCTTAAATCTTTTTCGTATTCGACACTATAAAAACAAATACAAGCGCATATTGACATATTCGTTCAAGAAACCAAACGAGATGATCAAAAATGTGAATAAATAACAATATAATAGAAACAGTGAAGAAAAAAAAAAGAAAACTAATAAGCTAACAGTGTCGATTTCTTTTCTTTCTTTTCTTTTTTTATGCTTTTTCATCAACGGGTCGACTCAATCAATCAATCAGCGCGTGTCGATGCACGTATAAGTTACCATTTTTGCTTGTCGATCTTTGACAACGAAACCCGCATCCATAGAACGAGAAAGCAACAACAGAGAAATTTTGTGTAAATGTGTGTATGTTGATTGATGGCGTAACAATCCATCAAAATTGTCGCCAGAAGCAAATTTATACCGTAGTTAAAACTTTTGCTCCATGACAGACTGTAATGTAGTATTAAAATTCTGTGAAATAACTGCTACTAAATGAACCATGCTTATTGTTTATGATGAACATGTTTTCGTTTATTTAAATTGTATTTTTTTATTAGCAGATAAATAATTTTTCAAGGTTACTTAGTTGTGCATTGATCAATATTGTCATAATGACTATGTTTTTTTTTAATATAATATTGTAGTAATCAACTGATAATGGTAGTTGATGGAGTTGGTAATATTTTCGTGACTTGTTGAAAACTATACGAAATCGTTGTTGATAAATATTATCTTTCAGCAATATTAAATAGTTCGGTATGACATTCAGTATTGTTTATAGAAACAAGTTTTAATAGATTTTTGTGTTAATATTTCTTATTCTATCTGTTATAATGAAGAATGAATCAAATGATCATTATTATTATTAAAAGAATATCTTGTTGATAATTGATAATCTTTGATGATATCTAATATTTGTTTTTGTTTTGATTGTAACTGATGATGTTTGTGAACAACAAAAACTGATGCCGAGATCATAATTGTTCTTAAACTTAAATTGTTTTAAGTGGAAAAAAGAAAATCTCAGTCACTCTCTTAAATATACATACACATTCTTTCAAATAAAAGCAAAGAAGAAACGAAGAATAATGAACAAATGACAGCAAATTTTTATGTACCAGTCTCATACCGTATTACGCTTGAAAAATAAACAAGAGCTGTTGGAAGAAAAGAAGAGCGAAGAGAGAAAAACTCGAAACACCATTACTGCCACCACCATTGGCAACATGGTGACGTGTACACATACACACATTCACATAAGTAAAAACTTTAAAAAATTGTTATTTCATTCTCTCTTGTCGTCTTAAAATATTATACACAAATTTGTCTTGACACGTATGTGTGTTTGCGTCTAGTACATTTTTAAAACCTAAAACATTCTTTTCATGATTAGTCACAAATTAATTTTAATTAATGAATATGAATGAAGTAACAGTACCAGTTGAAGAGGTATCACAAGTAGATTTACAAGAAGAATTGAGTGCAGCTAAAGAAGAAATTCAAAGTTTAACTCAACAACTTAACTGTCTTCTTCTTTTAGCAAAAAAGTAGAAAATCATCATTATTTATCATAAACATATCAGTGTACTTTTTCTGTTTGTAGTGCTTGGCGTGGTGATGAAACAGCTACTGCTCATTTAGCTCGAGTCATTGGTAAGTTCATATTATTATATTTCATATTTAATACATTTATTTGATCATTTCAAGGTATTGACCCTGAAATTGAACGAAATGCTTTTTTTGAAAAGAAAACAACAACACGCTCTTCGGCAAAAAAAACAGTGACGATTGCCGATGATGATGAAATTGTATCGAAAGTAAAGAAATTCTTCAAAACAATCTTAAATTTAAAATATACAATTTTTTTTCTAGCAAACGTTAAGTCTTGCAAGCTCAACAACAAGCCAAGAAAATCTACAAGAACAACAAGTACATGTCCAAGCGGCTATTCGGTATGAAAAGAACTATTTTGATTTAATAAAAGAAAAAAAATAATGTATTGTTTCTTTTAGAAATACATATCTTCAACCGTTCCTTAAACAGAGTCATATTGATCCAATACGCGGACAAAATTCTAGACAAATTTTTAATAACATGCTTCGCCATCATCAAGTAATGACATTTATGTTTTATTTCAGAGGTAGAGTATTTTTTTTGCTATCTTGCATTTTGTAGAATGAAATACGTAAACCACCAATTATTGCAAATCGAAATTCATCAGCAAGCGTTCGACCGCGTGCAACAAAACATCTTTATCGACCAGCTTCTGCTGATCATATTGTACGCCATCTTGGTAGTCCGTTAAGTCGTGCAAAGCCTTATTTTGTTTTTGCTGGAAAAGAATTTTTTCAACGAACAACTAATTATTCACCGTTATATCAAAGAGCACTTGTTACTTCAGTAAGTTTTATAAAACTAGTTGAATAAATAATAGATTAAATGTTTTTTTGTTTCAATAAGGGTGGATCACGTCAATCAGAACATTCTGATATTTCTGATGAATCAGAGATTATACCATCACCGACAACCGAGCCAAGTTTACTTTTTTTTATAGTCTTGTTTTCTTTTTTTTTTATACAATCGATTTTGTATTATTTCTAGTCATTGCACG